TGCTGCAAGGATCCCGACTCAACCGACTCAACCGAAGTCGTCAATGGCGCCATCTCGCAGAATCCCCCCCACCTATCGTTGTAGTGACATTTCACTGACCCCTAACATTTATCATTAATTAGGGGGAAATACGCCATTAATTAGTGCCAGCGGTCATTAATTGTTAATGAATTAATATTCAAATTATATTTACAAGATATTTTGGCACTTTCCCTGGGTTTTTTGCCCAAAAATCGACATCTACGCACATCTACGGAACATCTACGGAACATCTACGCTATTCCGTAGAAGGTAAATCGCCAGGGCGCTCACCCGATTTTCTCCACAACCATCAACTTGAAAATTTCTTTCTGTTCCTGATCATGAAGAATTTGATGATAGGATGTGATTGTCGGAAAAATTTCACTTTATTTACCACTTTAAATATGAAAAAACACAACGAAGTTTTGAGGTCTTTACAGTGCAAAATTTGTGGACTTGTAATTAAGGTTTTTGATATTTTCAAACGCTGAATTCTCGACCCACAAAACAAATGGTCGACAATTGGTCGAAAATTTGACTGACACTTAACCGCAGAATTGTCATTGCATGTTCCACCAATTGGCGGCATAATTTATCAGTTATCAGCAATATTATCCACAAATTATCAGCAAAAAATATCGACAAATATACAGATTTAATTGTGAGTCGTTTTGAGACTAATAACAACAGGGAAAAACTAAGATAATCGTCAATTTGACGATAAATATTCGTATAAAAATGTCGCTAAAGATTTCCACATTTTTGCCACAATTTATCAGCAAAATTATCCGCAAAATATCGACAATGTTATCCACAAAATATCGACAAATCATTACCAAATATTATCTTTAAATTTAGAGGTGAATTTATTGTTCATTTTATCATGTTTTTCAATTCAATGATACCGGGGGAAATTGCAAAGGTGATTAATTTAATGAACATATTCAATTCAATTAGTGTCCGCAACGATTACGTATATGAAAAAATTAAAAAGAAATTCTTAGCGAATCCGATAGGAAATTCC